GAGGATTCAATATGTTTCGTGTGAAATATTCCTACATGCAATGGAGGAAGAACAGTGACGCCTTGACTTACAAGTGGAATTGATTCCGAGGCCTCGTTTGTAACCCAAAACACAATTCCCCATTGAGATGAATGGAAATGCCATTTATCTGTTCGAGCTGCATTGCACTCCAGCTCCAGTAATATTCTCCACAAGTTGGTTCCTCTAAAACAATTTGCCGAGCTGTTTTTAAAAGGCACAACAGTTCTGTTAACCCGAATCTCGAGTTAACTCGAAAGCCGATTTTCACAACAGCATAAGTGAATATTTACTTGAATTGCCCAACTTACCGTCATTTTTTTTTTCTGTAAATTGTAAGTAAACCCAACTTTGTTTTTTTTTTCAGTCAAGTTGCATAATTCTTTTTGCTTGTTGTTTAATCCATTTCAAATTGGAGAAGCAATTTCCTTTCGACAAATTATTCACTAGCTGCCAAAGGGCTGCTTGTTGTGACGTTCGCTGCCACCATTGAGCACTCGTAACACATTTTGGCTTACAAGTCAAAGCAAAAAAAATAAATTAAAATAAAAAAAATCTGCAGAGTGATTGCTTGTATCTTAAAACCAGTACTGGAATATTCAAAGTGGGATGGCGGCGGTGTGAGAAGGAATAGTGGAGGGGGGAGGAGAAAAAAAAAAAAGGAACTCGCTTCTCCCGCCCTGTTACGTTGAAAGCAATTGTCACAACGGCCACTGACGTCATTGAGGGTTCCGTGTGAAAGGCACTGGCGAATACATTTCGCTTGAAAGGGGTGATACGAAAACAACAGAATGGACCAATTGTTAATTATGCACTGAGGAGCATTTTTTGGCTTTTAAAATTTTTTTTTTTTTTTTTACAATGTTAAAATGTGAGAATATTTGCAGGTTCCCCACCCCTGTAATTGAACGAATATAAAAAAAAAAGACTCGCGCGCCATTTTAAGTGAATCACTGCCTGAGGACATTTCAATATGGCTGTCTGTCTGTCAAAGAGCCCGTGCCGCATAATCTAAAATGTGTGTGAGACCAATGACATTAAAAAAAAAAACCAAAAGGCCATTTTAATACTGCATCACACAGCCCAAAAAAAAAGGTGTCCTTATTTTCAATTATTTAAGAAACTGTACAAAAATCACCCCCCAAAAAAGTTATTGCTCGTTTACATGACACCAAAAAATGCACCTAGCAGCTTGTATGAAGCATTTTTTTTTTAAAAACTCCAGACAACATAGAAAGGACTTTTAACATTTTTTTTTCAATTCAAAGTTATCGTATGGCTGTGTCGACTCGACCGGTCTTGTTTAGTGGTGGTCTACGCTAAAGGCAAAGAGAAGCAAGAAGCAAATATCATCTGTACACTGTATACACCGCGGTCCCGCCCTGTTCTGCTTTGTACCGGATGCACTGAAAACAAAGAAATACGATGAAGTGAGCAGTCGGGGTGCTTCCCCCTCTCCCTTCAAATTAAAAAAAAAAAAAAAGAACAAAATTCTAATAAATAGAAAAAAAAAACCACCATGGTATTACTTATTGGTATATACAAGTCATTCAATTTGGACTTTTTTTTTTTTTTTTAATCATAGTCTCTTTAAAGTCTCAGATGCTACGAAGATAAAGCCATCGACAGGAATTAATTCTTATTAAAACAGAATCTATACAGAAAAAAATAAAACTTAATTTAATACAGGATGTAAACCTCAAATCAAATCATTCTTCTTCTGCAGTGTGTCTCCGACGACTTCGCCCCCCCCTCGCTGCCGAGGACAATATTAATCATCGTCCATCGTACGATAAGAAAAAAACCTGGCTAAAGTTCGTCTGTGAGAGAAGCCACCAAGAGTCAGGTTTTCCTTTCTTTTTTTTTTTTTTGCAGGGGAGTGGGGGTTATTTGAGATGAGATTGTAAATAGCCGCAGTCCGCTGAGAGGAATACATTCATCAGGGCACGGGGAGAGGGGTGGGGGTGGG